GAGATGATTATTGGAGGGGGGGAGGACATTACAGGGGAGGGAGGGGGGAGATTATTGGAGGGGGAGGAGGAGGACATTACAGGGGAGGGAGGGGGGAGATTATTGAGGGGGGCGGAGGAGGGGGGAGATTATTGAGGGGGGGAGGGAGGGGGGGAGATTATTGAGGGAGGGGAGGAGATTATTGAGGGGGGGAGGAATACTATAGGGAGGAGGGGGAGATTATTGGAGGGGGGAGGAGAGATTATAGGGAGGGGAGAAGATTATGGGGAGTGGGGAAGATTATTAGGGGAGAGATTATTGGAGGGGAGGATTATTGAGTGGGGGGAGGAGGATTATAGGGAGGGGAGAAGATTATGGGGAGTGGGGGAAGATTAGGGGGAAGATTATAGGGAGAGGGAGGAGATTATTGAGGGGAGAAGATTATAGGGAGGGAGGGGGGAGAAGATTATAGGGTGGAAGATGGGAGGGGGAGAACATTGGTGGGAGGGGGAGGAGATTATTGAGGGGGGAGGACATTATAGGGGAGGGGAGGAGATTATTGAAGTGGGGAGGAGATTATAGGGAGGGGGGAGGAAGTGATTATGGGGAGTGGGGGAAGATTATTAGGGGAGAGATTATAGGGGGAGGAGATTATTGAGGGGGGAGAAGATTATAGGGAGTGGGGAGAAGACTTAGGGGAAGATGGAGGGGAGAAACATTACAGGGAGGAGGGGAGTGGAGAAGGTTGAGGAGGAGAAGATTATAGGGGGGGGAGAAGATTACAGGGAGGGAGGGGGAGTGGAGAAGGTTACAGGGAGGGGGGAGAAGAAGAGAAGATTACAGGGGAGAAGAAGAGGAGAACACAGGGAGGGGGGAATAAGAGGAGAACATGGGGGGTGGGAGATGAGAACGTAGGGGAGGGAGAGACCACTAAAGGAGGGAGGGGGCGGTGGAGAGCCCGCTAAAGGAGGGGGGTGGAGGATAGACCACTAGGGGAGGGTGGGGGGAGAGGAGTGACCACTAATGGAAAGTCGGGGAGAAAAGGAGACCACTAAGGGAGGTGGGGGGGAGAGGAGAGACCACTAAGGGGCGGGGGAGATCTCTAAGGGAGAGCTCTATAGGACAGGGGGCAGGACAGGGAGCTCTTTCACACCACGCGCACACACACACACACAATACATCCCTATACACACAGAAACACAACATGCTTCCCTTACACACAGAGAAACACACAATGCAACCCTTAGACAAAGACAATGCATCCTTTGCACACATACACAGAAACACACAATGCATCCCTTACACACATATGCAAACACACACTGCTTCTCTTACACACACACAGAAACACAATGCATCTCTTACACACACTTACAGACAAACACACAATACATCCCGTATACACAAACACTCACTGCTTTCTATCCCTTACACACAAACACACTGCATCACCTACACAAACTGGTATCCCTATACACTACATTCCGTAAGCACACACATTAGATCCTCTACAGTAACACATAACACATCCCCCTACACACTCTACTCCCTGTGAGCGAACTCATGGGTGGAACATGTAGGTGGACTTATGGGTGGGCTTTATGGGCATACTCACCGTCAGGCCCTGGGGCCCAGACCTTGAGCTATGTAAGAGGCCCCAAAAAATTGAGCTGCTTCCCGTTCTCCCAGAACATTGAATTTTGTGACCACAGTTACAAACAGCCTCCAGAGATCCTGTTCTACACCAGACCAGTGGAGCCAGACTGCAGCCACAGCCCATCATCATCCTCATCTGATTGTAAGTAGGCAATCTAGTATATTATTAGTGACACTAATCTCTAATTTACCTCACATTAAATGGACACTATAGTCCCCCAGAACCACTGCAGCTTAATAAAGTTGTTCTGGTGTCTATAGTTTGTCCCTGCAGGCTTTTTAATGTAAACACACACTGTGTGCAGCACTGGCACTAGTTCATATGGCAGATCATATGGGTGGGGCATTGCTAGGTCTCTCAAGGGGCGGTACCTTTTGCCTAGGGCGTAAAAAATCCTCTTTGCACCGCTCCTCAGCTTATTCTCCCCCACACACACAGTACCCCTACCCCCCCGCAGCACCCTTACACATATAGCACACACACAGCACCCCCACACACACTCAGCACCCCCCACACACACACACACAGCACCCCTCACATACAACACTCACACACACACGCACCCCCCACCTCAATGCAGTATGTGTGTATTCAGCAGTGTGTGTGTGTGCGTGTATTCAGCAGTGTGTGTGTGCGTGTATTCAGCAGTGTGTGTGTGTGTGTGCGTGTATTCAGCAGTGTGTGTGTGTGTGCGTGTATTCAGTGGTCTGTGTGTGTGTGCTCAGCAGTCTGTGTGTGTATTCAGCAGTGTGTGTGTGTGTACTCAGCAGCTCCTGTGTGTGTGTGTGTGTGCTCAGCAGTCTGTGTGTGTGTGTGTGTGTGTGCTCAGCAGTCTGTGTGTGTGTGTGTGCTCAGCAGTCTGTGTGTGTGTGTCTGTGTGTGTGTACTCAGCAGTCTGTGTGTGTGTGTGTACTCAGCAGTCTGTGTGTGTGTGTACTCAGCAGTCTGTCTGTATGTGTATTCATCAGTCTCTGTATTCAGCAGTCTTGTGTGTGTGTGTATTCAGCAGACTGTGTGTATGTATTCAGCAGTCTGTTTGTGTATGTATTGCATTTGTTGGAGATACTAATAAATATAAGCTTAATTTTATCTATTTATATCATTATTTAAAATTTGTATCATTGAACTCTCTGTGTTCTTTTAAAACAAAAGTTATTAGTTCGGACAACAGTACGAGTTGTTTTTTTCTTAACTTGAACCTCAGTATTTGGGTTTAATTGCCGTGTTGGCACTTTAAGGAGAAAAATTTTTGGCATGTATTGCGGTTTGGGCACTCGGGCTCAAAAAGGTTCGCCATCACTGCTCTAATATGTTGTACAGAGGGAATGGAGTGGAGAATAAAAACAGTGGAAACAGAGGAGGGACGCAAAACTTTTGTAGTGTTAATTTCTGCCTGCTAACAAAGGGAAAGAGTGATGGGCAAGTAAGTCCTGAGAAGAGACTGTAGTTTATAGTTAGTAGAAAAGATAAGATGAGATTGTTGTGGCTTGTGAGATGGATCGGTAAACTGGGCTGAAAGATCGGAGAGAGAGAGAATGACACAGGATATATGTTGACTTAAAATGCATCCTGCATGTGATCCTGCAGCACCACTGTAGACACCAAAAGGGACACTGTAATCACTATAACTACAGCTTAATGTAGTTGTTCTGGTGTCTATAGCCTGAGAAAAGGCAGTGTTTACATTACTGCCTAGCAACACCTCCATTGGCAGTCAATCAGATGGCCACTAGAGTTGCTTCCTGGTTCGGTGCTGCACACAGGGCGTGTGCAAGCTGTGTGGCCGCACAGGCCGCCATGGGAGCAGGGGGCGCCATGCAGCCGACACAGCTCACACATGGACGGCCGGGATTATAACAAAAAATATATATATTGAGGCGGGGGAGGCCAAGGGGTCCCTGCTTCCCCCAACAACCAGTCTCCTGGAGTTGCACTGCCTCCACTCCTCCATAATGAACAGAGGTAACTATGTGTGATTGTCTGACTGTGTGTCTGTGTGTATGACTGTCTGCCTGTGTGTGACGGTCTGCCTGTGTGTGTGTGTGTGTGTGTGTGACTGTCTGCCTGTGTGTGACTGTGTGTGTGTGACTGTCTGCCTGTGTGTGAATGTCTGTATGTGTGACTGTCTGTCTGTGTGTATGACTGTCTGTGTGTATGACTGTCTGCCGGTGTGTGTGTGTGACTGTCTGCCTGTGTGTGACTGTGTGTGTGTTACTGTCTGTCTGTGTGTGTGACTGTCTGCCTGTGTGTGACTGCCTGTATGTGTGACTGTCTGTCTGTCTGTGTGACTGTCTGCCTGTGTGAGTG